GAAGCAAGAAATGGATGAGGACATCTTTGACCAAATGGTTGAAACCCTCAATCCAGAAACAGTCCAAAAAACCCCAATCCAAACATCCACCAGATGGAAACCCGATGGAACTTATGACAGCAAACCATTAGACCCCGAATATTTTTCCAAATACTATCCTAAGAAATTATCAACAGCCTTCAAGTGTCCCGACTGCGGACGCACCATTGCGTCCAAATCCAATTTATCCAAACATCGTCGAACCAAAATTTGTATGAGGAAAAGATGCCAATGTTGAAAGGTGCTTTAAGACGCCTCACGGCACGTTTCGTTCAAAGGGTTTTCCAGTCCATTTTTTTTCAACTGGAAAACATAAAATGATTAATTCATACTATCTTAACAAAATATATTATGAAGTAATCACCCACCCAAATACAAACAAGAAACATCAAGAAACACAACAGTCTAAACAATTCTCCCCCTCGTCTGAAACAAACACTTTAACAACAAAATTACCCCCCAAAACCCCACCTGAAAAATCATCAAAGGTGAAGATGAAACATTGAACCCCAACACAAAATCATAACAAACAACATACAAACATATACGCCCTGAAACCCCCCATTTATCCATTTTTTCCCATGCATGTTGAATTCATATCCCATTAACATCCTTTTTTTACCCCATGAATCTCCCACGACTTGACATCACTCGAATTTCCAGCCAGGGCCATCCAGCTCTGAATCGGCCAGGATTGCGCGCAACGCAGTGATCGACGCCTGTGACAAAGGGAACGCCTGGCAGGTGGCAATCCAACTGTTGCGTGGAGCAGATACAGTGACTTGATGGAGCCATGTAAGGGGCCTCTAAGCCTCTAAGGGGTCGAAGTTGACTGACGTTGAATCAGCTGAGAAAAGGAAAACCACTACAAAGATAGCCAAAAATCAAGGATTGGGGCCAAATATCCAGGAGAACTATGGAGAACTGACATATATACTGATATATACTGATAAAATGAATGGCATCGCCCACGAACTCAGACCCCACGGATCAAAAAAGGCGAAAAAGGCTCTTCTGATCCCATGAAGCTGCGGTGCTATTGGGTGGGTCCCCTTATGTCCCATCGTTAATGGATGTGGTCATGGCTTTTCCCATGATTTTCCTAGGATTTTCCAATGGTTTGAATGTCAGCTACAGATCGCAGCCACGGCTGAGATTGGCTTCAACTCAGCCATCAATGCCTGTGCCGTTGAGTGGACCATGGCCATTCAACTGATTGAGCAGATGCAAAACCAGGAACTGGGAGCGCAGCCTGAAGTCATCCCGCTTTTTTTCGGTCATGTGGTAAACCCAGCAATGATTTTCCAATGGGGAATTCGTTTTTTTTTTTTTTTCCGTTGTATGATTTTTGCTTGTACCACCCATTTCTGGTAAAAGTTGGGTTTACCACGACTGCTGCATTTCTCACCGAGGAATTGCTGATAAGTTTGCAGGATGTTGCAGCTATGCAAACCTTAAGACATTGCCATGTCATTGTGAAATGAAATTGACAATGAGAAACTGTTAACATAGGTCCTGTCTGTTTGGCTTCCCCCGACAACCATCTGCATGAGCGTGTCTTCAACTCACATCTCTCGCAGGAGCTTCAGCTGGACGTCATCACCTTCAATGCTGCAATCGGAGCCTGCGATGAGGCACATGGCTGGGAAATGCCCTGCGGACATTTCAAACATCATCTATAAATGGATGATTTTCCAGCAAACCATGTTGGGTCACCAGAGGCTAATTACTTGAGGATGGCAAGGTTTGGAACCCCTGTTGATTTTATCGGGGAAGTGACACCAAGAGCCAAGCTGATAGCTGAACGGCTGTCACCTATGCTTGAGATGCTGTCAAGGCACGCAATTGGAAGAAAAGCTTTGAGCTCTTCCGGGAGTTGCAAGGTAGGCGGCTGGTGCCAAACACACGCTCCCTGGCAGAAATTGTTCGACGCGGAATCTACTGGGATTGGTTGAGAGGATCTTGTTGTGCTGTTGAGCGCATCCCATAGATATAGCGTGCCAGTCTATATGAGTTTATTGAGCAATGTTGAGAGTGTGTGAAAACACAGATTAATGATTAGACGGGAGAAATTCAAAGATATTTGAACATTATTTGAATACAATGTGCCATCGGAAAATATTCGGAAAATATTGACAGTTAGATGATGTGTTGGAATCAGCGCTCCGCTTAAACCTAACTCACATCACAGCAATTCAACCTAGTCCTTTGTCCCTTCGGTTTGGGATGTTTTCACGGGACCATACTTGTCCCATACTTGCCAATAGCATTTTTCCATATTTTTCCCATTTTTCATCCATTTTCCATGCCGTTACTATGCCGTTCCAAAACCATGTTGACCCAGCTGTTTGTTTTAAGTGGTTTCTCTGTGGCCGAGCCTCGAAATCTGAAATGGGCCGAGGCAGCTACGCCGCGGTGATCCACTGCTGCGAGATGGAAGGCCTTTGGCCCGAAGCCTTGAGGCTTTTGCAAAACATGGACCAACGAGGCCGGCGCTGGGCACTGGATGGCAGATCCAGCCATGGGTCATCATGGGTCGTGTTACTCAATTTACTAAGGGGTGATGAAGTGCAACATAGTGCAACTCGAAGGTAGAGATCCACGAAGATCCAAAGCTTTGCGAGATATTTTATGATATCTGGAATATCCAAGAGCCGAGTGCAAAGATCGTTTCTGTAGAAAATCATAGAACATCTAGAAATAGGCGTGGCAGATCACCAGTGGCATCCCTGCACTGAGGTGTAGAGCTGAATACCATGACCTACAATTCGGCCATCAATGCGTGTGACTGCTCTGCACTTCTGAGTTTTTGTTCAAATTTCACGTGGCATCCAGATGCGCAGAACACACAAAACTCACCAAGATGTCGACGATTTCAGTTCTGGCCTTGGCCATCCTTGGCACCTGCAGGCGAAAAAGCTTCGGAATGGACTTTGGCTTTGCATCTTTTCACCTCTTTGGAATCCTCCTTTCTGGATCCCACTGTGGTAAGCTTCGGCGCATGCGCGAAGGTGCCATTTGCGTGATGTGTGGAATGAAAAGAGGCATCATTTTCCCAACAGAAAATCTGTATCTCCCAAGACATCTCAAAAGTGTCAAGACAAACGCTAGATCCACCAGCTGGATTTTAGCCGCGGCTGTTGGACAGGCCTTGGAACAAGGTGGTCGATGGATGGAGGCGTCCCGAAAAGTTGTCTTGTGACATCCAAGATGATACAGTGCCTGAATGATTTGTTGAAGACGTAGAAGAAGTTCACAAGATTTTGACCAGAAGCTGGTTGATGACGGTTGGAGGTTCCAAATATTGTTGATTTTCAATACTAATTAATGATAGCAATTGGTACATCACTTACATTCGAACTCCTGTTCATTTTGTTCGAGGACCTCTACATTCACTGGATCGTCATCATTTTCCCCTAGTAGAAAGCTCATTTTAGGGGCTATACTTTGGCAATGCCCAATTTTCAGATCAATTCAACTATCAACATATTGTTGGTATTTGTTGGTGATATATCCCAATTTTAAATTACATCACATGTCTGGATAAGTTTTCCCAATTTCCAAAGGGTGGTCATATTTTTATCCCTAATATATTTATTTCACCGAAAAAACACAGCCCAAAAGCGCCTGGTGATATGTTTGGATCATCTTGGATCGCAAACGCGTCGCATCTGCGTCGCTAGGTGCTGGACTTACTGGTGTTGATGATGTTGAAATCTCATCCTCCCGATGTGGTGGCCTCCTCGGCAGCAATCACTGCCTGTGCGAAGGAACATGTTTGGTTGGAGGCTGCGGTTGATGTTTTTTTTTTTCTGTCGAGCTGGAAAACGATGTTTGTAAAGAACGGAGAATATGGTGATTGACTAGAGACTTTTAGACTATGTTAGACTATTAAAGATGTTGTGCCATGCTCTTCTATGATGTGATTGCATTGATGATGGGGATCATGTTGATTAATGCTGATGCTTGTGAATCTCATAAGATCTCCATTTCCTATGCGCTGGCTCGTTTGAGCGACAGGCGCTTGATATCCTAGAAGCAACTTGCCTGCAGATGAAACGGTTCGTGTCGCAAACAGAGGGTGGGAACAGAAGCACTCAACCACCAAGGATATGTTGGACTTCCAACTGGTGCCTTGGCTGTTAGGAGTAGGGATGGATGCGCAGACAGTGAATGCATATTTTGGAGGAGGAAGTGAGTCAGACTTGCTGCCAAACCTTTCCAGGAATTCATACAGTCACCCCTTATGATGAGCAGTTTTCACCTTCCTGAGGACATACCAAGCATAGCTGTGAGTGCAACTTACAGCGCTTGTGAACGTCGATCTGTTCCTGCCGGTGCACGGACAAGACACTTCGGCGGTGTCAAAAAGAGTCCGCAACCTGCGAACCAGGCTTTGAACGGTCAGATTCGTGGCAATGTACGATGTGACATGGTCTGCCGAAGCTGTTACTGTAGGGGCTTGAAGAAAAATTCGACATCCTCAGATTTCATGATCATCATTCTGTCGATGCGAAAAGGGGCCATTCTTCAGAGCATTGCTCTTTCCAAGGCCATCACCAGAAGCTATGATGCGTGCTTTGGAAATGCTGGGATTCCTCAGTGATTCCTCGGCTGGAGCTTGACCACCAATGATGTCACTGGATAATCTTGTAGCAGAATGCTATAGATAGCTACAGCTGCAGCAGCTATAGCTTTAGCACGCCACAGCTGAGGTTGCACTTTTTGGGCGCCATTGATGATGAAGGCGATCTTACAGATGTAGGCAAGGCCCAGTGGTTGCCCTGCAGATGCTATCATGCTGTCAAGCGTTTGGTGTCGATGGTCAGATTCTAAGACCACGGAAGCACAGTGTTATTAGTATTTAAGATATCAATATATTAAGGGGCTCCGCCCCCTGCCGCCGACCCCTGGGCTGAGCCTGCGATCAGCTTCTCCATCGCCCTGAAGCACACACACACGCACATATATATATATATATATATGTGCGTGTGTGTGCCAAACGTTACTTTCTGAACCAACTAGAAACTAGCTAGCTCCAAACCTTGACTTTACCTGCGTTTCTGCACTGCCAATTCTGCACTGCCAACTGCCACCCTGCTCGTGTCCTCCTGGCAGGCCCGGGTCCAAGGACCCTGTCGCAGGGCTAAAACACCATGGCGCTGAAGGACGGATTGGGCCCGCGGCCCGTAGCCCAGACTGCCAAACGTTACTTTCTGAACCGACTAGAAACTAGCTCCAAACCTTGTCTTTACCTGCGTTTCTGCACTGCCAACTGCCACCCTGCTCGTGTCCTCCTGGAGCTGGCTTTCGTTCTGCACAGCTCCGGTCCAGGCCCGGGGTCCAAGGACCCTGTCGCAGGGCTAAAACACCATGGCACTGAAGGACGGATTGGGCCCGCGGCCCGTAGCCCAGACTGCCAAACGTTACTTTCTGAACCGACTAGAAACTAGCTAGCTCCAAACCTTGTCTTGACTTTACCTGCGTTTCTGCACTGCCAACTGCCACCCTGCTCGTGTCCTCCTGGAGCTGGCTTTCGTTCTGCCCAGCTCCGGTCCAAGCTGGAGTCCAAGGACCCTGTCGCAGGGCTAAAACACCATGGCACTGAAGGACGGTTTGGGCCCGCGGCCCGTAGCCCAGACTGCCAAACGTTACTTTCTGAACCGACTATAGAAACTAGCTCCAAACCTTGTCTTTACCTGCGTTTTCTGCACTGCACTGCCAACTGCCAACTGCCACCCTGCTCGTGTCCTCCTGGAGCTGGCTATCGTTCTGCCCAGCTCCCGTCCAGGCCCCCGGTCCAAGGACCCTGTCGCAGGGCTAAAACACCATGGCACTGAAGGACGGATTGGGCCCGCGGCCCGTAGCCCAGACTGCCAAACGTTATTATTACTTTCTGAACCGACTAGAAACTAGCTAGCTCCAAACCTTGCCTTGACTTTACCTGCGTTTCTGCACTGCCAACTGCCACCCTGCTCGTGTCCTCCTGGAGCTGGCTTTCGTTCTGCCCAGCTCCGGTCCAAGCTGGAGTCCAAGGACCCTGTCGCAGGGCTAAAACACCATGGCACTGAAGGACGGATTGGGCCCGCGGCCCGTAGCCCAGACTGCCAAACGTTACTTTCTGAACCGACTAGAAACTAGCTCCAAACCTTGTCTTTACCTGCGTTTTCTGCACTGCCAACTGCCACCCTGCTCGTGTCCTCCTGGAGCTGGCTTTCGTTCTGCCCAGCTCCGGTCCAGGCCCGGGGTCGAAGGACCCTGTCGCAGGGCTAAAACACCATGGCACTGAAGGACGGATTGGGCCCGCGGCCCGTAGCCCAGACTGCCAAACGTTACTTTCTGAACCGACTAGAAACTAGCTCCAAACCTTGTCTTTACCTGCGTTTTCTGCACTGCCAACTGCCACCCTGCTCGTGTCCTCCTGGAGCTGGCTTTCGTTCTGCACACCTCCGGTCCAGGCCCGGGTCCAAGGACCCTGTCGCAGGGCTAAAACACCATGGCACTGAAGGACGGATTGGGCCCGCGGCCCGTAGCCCAGACTGCCAAACGTTACTTTCTGAACCGACTAGAAACTAGCTCCAAACCTTGACTTTACCTGCGTTTCTGCACTGCCAACTGCCACCCTGCTCGTGTCCTGCCTGGAGCTGGCTTTCGTTCTGCCCAGCTCCGGTCCAAGCTGGAGTCCAAGGACCCTGTCGCAGGGCTAAAACACCATGGCACTGAAGGACGGATTGGGCCCCCAGACTGCCAAACGTTACTTTCTGAACCGACTAGAAACTAGCTCCAAACCTTGACTTTACCTACGTTTCTGCACTGCCAACTGCCACCCTGCTCGTGTCCTCCTGGAGCTGGCTTCTGCCAACTGCCACCCTGCTCGTGTCCTCCTGGAGCTGGCTTTCGTTCTGGCCAGCTCCGGTCCAAGCTCAACTGCCACCCTGCTCGTGTCCTCCTGGAGCTGGCTTTCGTTCTGCCCAGCTCCGGTCCAAGCTGGAGTCCAAGGACCCTGTCGCAGGGCTAAAACACCATGGCACTGAAGGACGGATTGGGCCCGCGGCCCGTAGCCCAGACTGCCAAACGTTACTTTCTGAACCGACTAGAAACTAGCTCCAAACCTTGACTTTACCTGCGTTTCTGCACTGCCAACTGCCCCCTGCTCGTGTCCTCCTGGAGCTGGCTTTCGTTCTGCACCAGCTCCGGTCCAGGCCCGGGTCCAAGGACCCTGTCGCAGGGCTAAAACACCATGGCAGTGAAGGACGGATTGGGCCCGCGGCCCGTAGCCCAGACTGCCAAACGTTACTTTCTGAACCGACTAGAAACTAGCTCCAAACCTTGACTTTACCTGCGTTTCTGCACTGCCAACTGCCACCCTGCTCGTGTCCTCCTGGAGCTGGCTTTCGTTCTGCCCAGCTCCGGTCCAAGCTGGAGTCCAAGGACCCTGTCGCAGGGCTACAACACCATGGCACTGAAGGACGGATTGGGCCCGCGGCCCGTAGCCCAGACTGCCAAACGTTACTTTCTGAACCGACTAGAAACTAGCTAGCTCCAAACCTTGTCTTTACCTGCGTTTTCTGCACTGCCAACTGCCACCCTGCTCGTGTCCTCCTGGAGCTGGCTTTCGTTCTGCCCAGCTCCGGTCCAGGCCCGGGTCCAAGGACCCTGTCGCAGGGCTAAAACACCATGGCACTGAAGGACGGATTGGGCCCGCGGCCCGTAGCCCAGACTGCCAAACGTTACTTTCTGAACCGACTAGAAACTAGCTCCAAACCTTGTCTTTACCTGCGTTTCTGCACTGCCAACTGCCACCCTGCTCGTGTCCTCCTGGAGCTGGCTTTCGTTCTGCACAGCTTCTGTCGCAGGGTTAAAACACCATGGCACTGAAGGACGGATTGGGCCCGCGGCCCGTAGCCCAGACTGCCAAACGTTACTTTCTGAACCGACTAGAAACTAGCTCCAAACCTTGACTTTACCTGCGTTTCTGCACTGCCAACTGCCACCCTGCTCGTGTCCTCCTGGAGCTGGCTTTCGTTCTGCCCAGCTCCGGTCCAAGCTCAACTGCCACCCTACTCGTGTCCTCCTGGAGGTGGCTTTCGTTCTGCCCAGCTCCGGTCCAAGCTGGAGTCCAAGGACCCTGTCGCAGGGCTAAAACACCATGGCACTGAAGGACGGATTGGGCCCCCAGACTGCCAAACGTTACTTTCTGAACCGACTAGAAACTAGCTCCAAACCTTGACTTTACCTACGTTTCTGCACTGCCAACTGCCACCCTGCTCGTGTCCTCCTGGAGCTGGCTTCTGCCAACTGCCACCCTGCTCGTGTCCTCCTGGAGCTGGCTTTCGTTCTGGCCAGCTCCGGTCCAAGCTCAACTGCCACCCTGCTCGTGTCCTCCTGGAGCTGGCTTTTGTTCTGCCCAGCTCCGGTCCAAGCCCGGGTCCAAGGACCCTGTCGCAGGGCTAAAACACCATGGCACTGAAGGACGGATTGGGCCCGCGGCCCGTAGCCCAGACTGCCAAACGTTACTTTCTGAACCGACTAGAAACTAGCTCCAAACCTTGTCTTTACCTGCGTTTTCTGCACTGCCAACTGCCACCCTGCTCGTGTCCTCCTGGAGCTGGCTTTCGTTTTGCCCAGCTCCGGTCCAGGCCCGGGGTCCAAGGACCCTGTCGCAGGGCTAAAACACCATGGCACTGAAGGACGGATTGGGCCCGCGGCCCGTAGCCCAGACTGCCAAACGTTACTTTCTGAACCGACTAGAAACTAGCTCCAAACCTTGACTTTACCTGCATTTCTGCACTGCCAACTGCCACCCTGCTCGTGTCCTCCTGGAGCTGGCTTTCGTTCTGCCCAGCTCCGGTCCAAGCTGGAGTCCAAGGACCCTGTCGCAGGGCTAAAACACCATGGCACTGAAGGACGGATTGGGCCCGCGGCCCGTAGCCCAGACTGCCAAACGTTACTTTCTGAACCGACTAGAAGCTAGCTCCAAACCTTGTCTTTACCTGCGTTTTCTGCACTGCCAACTGCCACCCTGCTCGTGTCCTCCTGGAGCTGGCTTTCGTTCTGCCCAGCTCCGGTCCAGGCCCGGGGTCCAAGGACCCTGTCGCAGGGCTAAAACACCATGGCACTGAAGGACGGATTGGGCCCCGCGGCCCGTAGCCCAGACTGCCAAACGTTACTTTCTGAACCGACTAGAAACTAGCTACAAACCTTGACTTTACCTGCGTTTCTGCACTGCCAACTGCCACCCTGCTCGTGTCCTCCTGGAGCTGGCTTTCGTTCTGCCCAGCTCCGGTCCAAGCTGGAGTCCAAGGACCCTGTCGCAGGGCTACAACACCATGGCACTGAAGGACGGATTGGGCCCGCGGCCCGTAGCCCAGACTGCCAAACGTTACTTTCTGAACCGACTAGAAACTAGCTAGCTCCAAACCTTGTCTTTACCTGCGTTTTCTGCACTGCCAACTGCCACCCTGCTCGTGTCCTCCTGGAGCTGGCTTTCGTTCTGCCAGCTCCGGTCCAGGCCCGGGTCCAAGGACCCTGTCGCAGGGCTAAAACACCATGGCACTGAAGGACGGATTGGGCCCGCGGCCCGTAGCCCACTGCCAAACGTTCTTTCTGAACCGACTAGAAACTAGCTCCAAACCTTGTCTTTACCTGCGTTTTCTGCACTGCCAACTGCCACCCTGCTCGTGTCCTCCTGGAGCTGGCTTTCGTTCTGCACAGCTCCGGTCCAGGCCGGGTCCAAGAGACCCTGTCGCAGGGCTAAAACACCATGGCACTGAAGGACGGATTGGGCCCCGCGGCCCGTAGCCAGACTGCCAAACGTTACTTTCTGAACCGACTAGAAACTAGCTCCAAACCTTGACTTTACCTGCGTCTGCACTGCCAACTGCCACCCTGCTCGTGTCCTCCTGGAGCTGGCTTTCGTTCTGCCCAGCTCCGGTCCAAGCTGGAGTCCAAGGACCCTGTCGCAGGGCTAAAACACTATGGCAGTGAAGGACGGATTGGGCCCCCAGACTGCCAAACGTTACTTTCTGAACCGACTAGAAACTAGCTCCAAACCTTGACTTTACCTGCGTTTCTGCACTGCCAACTGCCACCCTGCTCGTGTCCTCCTGGAGCTGGCTTCTTGGGCCCGCGGTCCGTAGCCGAGACTGCCAAACGTTACTTTCTGAACCGACTAGAAACTAGCTAGCTCCAAACCTTGCCTTGACTTTACCTGCGTTTCTGCACTGCCAACTGCCACCCTGCTCGTGTCCTCCTGGAGCTGGCTTTCGTTCTGCCCAGCTCCGGTCCAAGCTGGAGTCCAAGGACCCTGTCGCAGGGCTAGCTCCGGTCCAAGCTGGAGTCCAAGGACCCTGTCGCAGGGTTAAAACACCATGGCAGTGAAGGATGGATTGGGCCCCCAGACTGCCAAACGTTACTTTCTGAACCGACTAGAAACTAGCTCCAAACCTTGACTTTACCGGCGTTTCTGCACTGCCAACTGCCACCCTGCTCGTGTCCTCCTGGAGCTGGCTTTCGTTCTGCCCAGCTCCGGTCCAAGCTCAACTGCCACCCTGCTCGTGTCCTCCTGGAGCTGGCTTTCGTTCTGCCCAGCTCCGGTCCAAGCTGGAGTCCAAGGACCCTGTCGGAGGGCTAAAACACCATGGCAGTGAAGGACGGATTGGGCCCCCGGCCCGTAGCCCAGACTGCCAAACGTTACTTTCTGAACCGACTAGAAACTAGCTCCAAACCTTGACTCCAAACCTTGACTTTACCTGCGTTTCTGCACTGCCAACTGCAACCCTGCTTGTGTCCTCCTGGAGCTGGCTTTCATTCTGCACAGCTCCGGTCCAGGCCCGGGTCCAAGGACCCTGTCGCAGGGCTAAAACACCATGGCACTGAAGGACGGATTGGGCCCGCGGCCCGTAGCCCAGCCTGCCAAACGTTACTTTCTGAACCGACTAGAAACTAGCTCCAAACCTTGACTCCAAACCTTGACTTTACCTGCGTTTTTTGCACTGCCAACTGCCACCCTGCTCATGTCCTCCTGGAGCTGGCTTTCGTTCTGCCCAGCTCCGGTCCAGGCCCGGGGTCCAAGGACCCTGTCGCAGGGCTAAAACACCATGGCAGTGAAGGACGGATTGGGCCCGCGGCCCGTAGCCCAGACTGCCAAACGTTACTTTCTGAACCGACTAGAAACTAGCTCCAAACCTTGTCTTTACCTGCGTTTTCTGCACTGCCAACTGCCACCCTGCTCGTGTCCTCCTGGAGCTGGCTTTCGTTCTGCCCAGCTCCGGTCCAGGCCCGGGGTCCAAGGACCCTGTCGCAGGGCTAAAACACCATGGCGGACGGACCGGGCCTGCGGGCCGCGGCCCAAAACAGCAACGCCCTGATGGACGGACCGGGCATGCGGGCCACGGCCCCCACTGCTTGTAATCTCTTCTCTGACGCGCTCCCCCTGCTGTCGGCAGGGGTCGGCGGATATATATATATATATATTAATATTCACTAGTTATACATTACTCACCAAACAATTCATCAAATTCATCAACACTACTCAGATCTACTCAGTATTTCTGACTTCATGGCCTCGACCTGGAGTTCACAGCGGCGCACCAGGGAGCTCCCAGTGCCACGCTGTCAGGCTCACGGATGGCAGATTTCCCGGTCGATCCGCATTTGAGTGACTCCGAAGCAAGGAGGATCACAAAAGGTAGGAATGGTAGGAAAATGTAGGAAAGCCAAATTGTCCTTCGCTTCAAGCATGCCAAGAAGGGTCTTGGATCTGTTTGTACCCGGTTCATTTTGCCGATTAGTTTATTTGGGTTTTCATGAGCCTTGTAGAGTTTCATAGGATTTGATGTTTTGGTCTTTGCAGCAGTTGAAACGTTCCCTTTGAAGAGGGGACTATTATTCAGAGTGGCTCGAGCGGCCCCCATGAGCAGTGTAATATGACCAGATTGGGCTCGATATGGAGCAAGTTCAACATAGTCTAACATAGTTTAATATAGTTCAATCTAGTTTATAATAGTTTAACAATCTTCTTGGCATCCTTAATCGATAGAAACATGTGGAGGCGACCCTACCTGCTGTACTTGAGATGTAGCTGACGCCAGCTGAGGTCGAACGATTATCGCCAGCTCTGAACGGAGTTGCCTCTCTGAGGTACGGCGGTGAACCAGTGCAGAAGTATGATGAAGTATCTGGATTTGTAAAAATTGATGGTTTCAAGAAATCCACAAAATATGGCATCCCAAAAATATGGCATCCCAACATGTGTAAAAATTGATGGTTTCTCATCCCATTCCCCATTGAGATTGCCGTAAAAATTGGTGGGTATACAACGCTTTCAGACATATCATGTTAAGTGCACCCGAGGTGCTTGCAGTCATCGCAATGCTTTCGGTGCCTCCGCCCTTCAGCCGTCCGCGGTATGCCCAAAAGGCCACATCCAGCACATAGCACACATCATTCACCAGATGTCAGTGAGACTTTTGGAAGGTCACTAGTGGAATGATGGCAGAATGGGTCAGGGCCTAGAGAATGGTACACTTTCCAATCTGTCCATCGGAAGATGCGTCACAGGCAGCCGACAAAGCGCATAAGCACTTTGCTTCTGGATACGGAGACCACCTGTCCTTGTCTGGAACCTCAGTAGCTTTGCTGGTGAGGTTGTATCATGTTGTGTCTTGCACCATGTTGTGTGTTCCAGACGCATGTGCCAGTTTTCATACCGCCCTCTCTTTGGATCCATGCCATGATCAAGAGCTGGATAATTTTTGCTATGCAGGGATGGTCATCAATCCATTAGGGATTCATATACCCATTGCAAGGATTCCCAATATAGATAATATAGATTAATATAGGATGGATGACCACAAGCCAGGTTTTGAGGCACGGCCACGCCCTGCAGGCTGAATGCCTACCAAGCCTATGTGGGAGCCAGCTCCAAAGCAGACTTCTGTAGGGACTGGGTCAGGGCCGAGGGGCTGGGGGCCGGAGGGGAGATGCTTCACAGTGTCAGTAGCATCGAAAGTGCGCCAGTTGTTTCTACAGAAAGAATTATCAACCCAGGTTCCACCTTTCCGCCCATTTCTGACAAGAAGCAGAAGCTGCATGAGGATGAATCAAAAAGAAAGTACAATTAATGATAGAGACTGCATTTTAATCACATTTGATTTTAGATGTTTTTAAAGAACTGAACTGGTTACTCTCCATTTCAGTGTTCCTTTTCACAAGCTCCAGAGTCCTGATGCTCATCACGCGGGATCTGTCAGGAGCACTTTCTTTCCGACCGCAATATGAAGCAAGCTGAGAACGTGATTACACCAAGCCGGAACAGGGTCTTGATGGGAGTAGAGGTCTGTGAACTGCACCTTTTAGCCACAGACTGAATACTTGATCCACCCCACTGGCAAGTATCTGAATGTTCGTCTTGGACGCGCGCAGCACATCCAATCAAACCTGACTCTTACACCGCCTGCAGCTCCGATATCAGTGTTGCGAGCGAATTTCAGGCTTGCCGTGCTCATTTCATGCTTTTAAAAGCATGTGGGTTTGTCGGAAAATAGGGTCCTCCCAAATCCAGTAATTTATCACAATTTTCCGTATTAATATGCTCACTTTGGGGGTTAAATCACCTTTTTTCAGACACACCCAAGTCCTATTGTCGATTACTTATACGCCCCATTAATATCCATGAATATCCTATTAATAAATCCGTTCAATAGATATCATCAATCAACTCCATGAACCAATCCCTTTCATATCCCATTTATATCACACTACTCTCTCCTCATGGATATTGATATTCATATCCATTATATACATATACTATCATATACTTATGTATTATACATGTATATATCATACATACATTCATCAAGCAGACGGTGAAACCACGACAAGCAAATGCAGTACAACAACAGCATTCTTGATAATACAATAACAAGACGACTGCTTAAAGTATATATATATATATATATTTACTTGCACCTTGAGATACTGAGCCCAACAAGCCGCGCCCAGGTTCGAAGGCAGCTTGCAGGCATTGCGCGCAAGACGCAGCTGGCGGATGAGAGCAGTGACATGTGGCGCCGGCGTCGTTTTTAGAGATTGGTAGCCACTGGTAGAGGTGAAATTTCTGGATTTTTCTTGGGGGGTAAACAGTGAAGAACAAGTAAAGAACATAAAAAAGCATCCTGAGAAAACAGTGAATCGTTCTTTCTTTAGTATGAATTTGGTGGATTTCTGCTTTTCTGGCAGTGTTTTGCCGATTTTTGGCGTGTTTTCTCGTCCTGCCAGGACCTCCAACCGCATTTTCACCAAAAAAGCTGAAACTGACCATTTCTCATTGCTGAAGTCGTGATCTTGCGGTGTAAGCACAGGTACTCAAGAGCTTGGTGCTTGTTGTCCGACGAGTCTGCTAGAATGGATGTATTGTTGGATCCAACGTTCAATAGGGTTTGACAATGGTTTGACAATGCTAGCCAACTAAAATTGGACGATGGCATGTCATAGATGACATTATGAAGATCCATTTGCAAAAGCTGCAAAGTCTCTTCAAAGTCCTTTGCAGGATCAACCCCTCTACAAACTTTTACCCACACAGTATGAACACTGTTGGCGCAGCAGAACCGTTTCTTGCCTGTGCTGAACTCAAAGGCAGCTAATTTTGTTAGATCCTTTTCGCCCTATGACTTCCAACCCGCCTTCCAGCCACCCGTTCTGTTCTCACTTTGTTGCCGTGTTTTGATATTGGACTCTTGACAGGGCAGCCCCAAAGAATCCACCAATCCCACGACTGTCTCAGCTCAATCGCTGAGCCAGGCTTACGATGAGCATCCGAAAGGCATTTGTCGAAGGATTCTTCATGCAGTGCCTGATGCCTTAGCAGCCTCAGCAGACCTTGAAAAAGAACAAATTTTCAGCTTTGGGAAGGAGGAAGGATACTGAGAAGAAGAGTTGGCCATTCAGAACTAGAGT